ATAGCATACCACCCCCCATAACATGCAGTAACAGCAACCAACTCCCCCCCCCCCTCCTCGCCTCAGGCGGTGAATATACTAGGGAAACCTCTGCTAAGGCCCCACTGCAGTACACAGACAATCAGGGCCGGATTTACTCTCACTGCTGCCACAAGGCCAGGTTCCTCAGTGCGCCCCCATACCTGCCAAACCCCCATGGAGAATGACAGACCTGGAGGCTGCAAACATGTGAGCTCGGTGACATCTCTGGGATCACTTGTACAAAACAAGCGGCGGCTTCCCCGCTGTACATTTAGCTCAGCTTGCCCAAAGCAGTGCTAAATGTAGAAAACAGCTACACGCCCGGCTCCGGGACCGCATGGCCCGTGCATCAGGAGATAGGAATTCCACACCCCAGCTGCCCCTCTACTCCCTGCTGCCCCAAGGCCGGGCCTTGGTTGGCCTTGTGGGAAATCCGGCCCTGCAAACAATGGAGTGATTGCTCCACTTACAGTACACTGCATATGTAGCACACATCACATACACAGTCAGAGCACATACAGTAAGAACACAGGGACAGGGAATGCAAGGAATACTCAGAGAACACATACACTGCACACATGATCAAAGCACACACAGTGCACACACAAAAATGCATACACAGGCACAGCACAAACAGTCAGAGATCTCGCACACAAAGCATGCACAAAGTGAGCAAATACAATCAAATTACACACAACAGAAATAGCTTGCACAGTCAGAGCATGCAAAACAGACAGGACAAACACAGCACATGCAACCAGAGATGTACAACCAACAAATAATACTGATTCTAAAGGTGCACACATAATATTCGTAAACTTAGAGACTACAATTATATCATCAGAAAATGTCCTTAAAAAAACCACATGTCATACAAAAGAGATGCTCCAATTTCCACCTTTCATCTCTATATCAGAACAGAGAGGAGCATTTGCTCTGACATAGTGTATCAGACCTCTTTAATGATAAAATCAAATAGATAAAATGCACTCACAATTAGAAACCTTCTACAGGTCATATAGCAGAGAAGATAGACATAAAGGCTGTGGCTTAATAGAACTTGCAAGCAGCGTAGATGAAACTAGGCATTGATCTGCAGAGGAAAACGAAAGCCAATATATGGATAAAGACATTATCTCTCACTCGAGTCTTCCATGCAACTCCCGTCAGCCGTAACGTCTCCTCTGCGTGTGTCCGCAAGCTCGGCCGTCAGGAATGCATTTCGAGGTAAATACCTAACCCTTTAAGTAGGTTGATAAAGTTATATGGAATTATTTCTGTCGGATTTTGGTTTATTTACCTCATTTTTAAAGGAGAATTATGAGGCGAGTGATTTCCACTCAGCCTCGTAATCTGAGCTGACCTGTGACAATGAAATTGTTACAGGTCGGCTCACTAGATCAGGAAGTGAGCGAACACATACCATCGCTCGCTCACTTCTCGATCTATCTCTGCAGAGAGCCGTGACTGTTTGGCGTCTGAATAAACCGCGATCTGTAGCTCGCGGTATACTGAGCTTTGGGTCACGGAAGAACGCTAGTTTGTGCTCTCCCGTGACCCTTAGGAGAACTATGCAGAAAAGCCCTGACTCCATAGTTCTCCTTTAAGTTGTATTTGGCAGTGATGTGACCATAGAGCCTCATTCACGCCCATCTTGACCAAAGCAGGGGTGTGTCTGTTTACATATGTGGGCATGCTTACACACATTGGGGAAGCATGTTGCCTGTCTGTGGCTTACATCACACAGATCAGGTAGGTGGACAGCTGCAGTTTTGACAGCAAGGCTCCAGCTGGGAACTGCAGTCAATCAATAAAGGCTGGGCTAAGTGGGGGGCATGGCGGCAAACTAACTAAGGGAAATACAGGCACACCATGTGTCGGCACATCATCCTGTAACCCTCTTTAGACACCATTTACACTGAGCTATTTGTAGCGTGATTTCAGCTAAAAAATTGCTCAAATATCAGCTCAATGCAGCTCAATGTAGCTTGTCCAATGCATTTCAATGGAGCTGTTTGCATCTCACAGTGTAATGTCGCCTGTAACTGGTAGCTCAAGCTTGTCGCTTTAACATGACCTATTTTTCGTCGGATTTCGTGCGATTTGGTCCAATAGACTTCAATGGTGTAGCTCAATGCCGCATGAATTTGAGCGACATTGCGTGACATTGTTGCGCTACAGAAGTGTCACTTTTGCACAGAAATATAAGCAGGAAACAGGAAGAGGAATTATGTCACATCAAGACCACTTTTGATACAGCCCAATGTAGCAGCTACGAAGTCAATGCCAAAACTAGCGCTACGTAGAGCGACAATATGTGCACTGTAGCTCAATGTAGCTCAATGTCTCTCAAAGTCGCTCTGCTTAAATCAGTGCTTTTTCTCATGTAGCTAAGTGTGAAGGGGGTCTTAGAGATCCCTAGGATGCAAAATGACCACACCAGCACAGGTGTGCTTCAAAGCTTGGTGTGGTGTCAGTTTGAAGCAGGAGCCAAGAACTCTCAGGGTCACCAGGTATTTAACAGCACAAAACAATGTTTAAAAAATCCCAGACTACATTTATGAAGAGCTATATGAATAGCCCAACACGTACAAGAAATCGTAATATTTGGAGTAACATACACTTTGAATTTTAAGTGTTGGTAATGTTAAGGCATATCATATATTTGGAAGGGAGATTAAGGTACTTCTTTCCTTCTAATAACAATGACAGGCCAATGGGAATCCAATTTAACAATCATAATGCTGCTGGATATGACTGGCACAGATACTGGGGTGATACATGCTGGGGTTTATTATTGCAGTCACTGTCACCAATGCTGGGGGTTATTACTGCAGTCACTGGTGCCATTGTTGGGGGGTTATTACTGCAGTCACTGGTGCCATTGTTGGGGGGTTATTACTGCAGTCACTGGCACCATTGCTGGGGTTATTTTTGTGGTCACTTACACCTATTAAGACTAGTGAGTTCGACTCGAACATTGGCAGTTTGTGTGTTCGGTGAACACACAAACTGTCAGGGAATTCGGCGGGCTATTCGCCCACCATGCACCCCGCACAAGACACTGTGCCTTGTGAGCCCTGATTGGCTAAAGCCTTGCACCTGACCACAGGTCAGGTGCAAGACTTTGCCCAATCAGGGCACAGAGAACTGTGAGAGCCAGGACTGGGCAAAGTCATGAAGACTCTGCCCAATCATGGCTAACCTGTTACAACTGTAAACAGTTGGGCGGAGCTAGCTGTCACTGCTAGCTCCGCCCAGTTGTTTATAAGTTGCCGGCATCTGTTAAAATGGCATTCTGTGGCGGGTGTTCGTTGCAGCGACGGGACGGCGGGCGTCGTTTTTTTGTTTTTTTAATTACTTTTCTATTTATTTTTTATTGCTTTATTTTTTATTTTGTTGTCATCGTGGACAATGCTGGACGTCGTGATTGACGCTGGATTAGATTGTAAGCCCTCGCGGGCAGGGCCCTCCTTACCATCTTGTCTTGAATTGTATTGTAATGTCTTACTTATATTGTAAAACACTGCGCAAACTGTTGGCGCTATATAAATCCTGTATAACAATAATAAATATTAATAATTACATCAGTGGATCCATTTTTTTTTTTTAAAGTCTGGCCTTTTTTAAAAAAACTCTTATTCAACCCTTTCGTGAATGGGTAAGGGTACAAGTAGCCCTTACTCATTCACAAGGGGGGCACATCTGGGTGCCCCTTTATTAAAGCGTTACCCTGATGTGAATAAGCCCCCTGCCCACATCCCGACAACCAACGCACCAGGGCTTGTGGGGAAGAGGCTTTTGTCCCCATTTGCACTGGGACAAGGTTATTTTCCAGGGGTGGCCCTGAAAATGCACCTCCCAGTGTCGAGGGCATGTGGCCTGGTATCGCAGGGAGGGGCACTTGCTCGTCCCTCCCCCCCTTTCCTGCCCTGTCAGGCCTGTGCCCGGTCTGGTATGGAATTTTAGGGAGGACCCCACATTTTATTTTCCCTGAGGGATGGGCTCAGGTGCAGTCCAAACCTGGTTCAAACCTGAGCTCCTCTAAACAAGAACCTCCACCCAATCAGCTGTGATATGTGCATTCCACGCCCTGCAGCTTGCATGGAAGCAAAGTGGGGGGTTGCTAGTGCTGATGTCATTCAGCGTATATGGCCACATTGCCATATTAGGTAAATGTAATTAAAATATATAATATAAATATAGGCATGTTAGCATATAAGGTCATATAAGGTCAATTACTTCACTGTGTCCTGCCCCTTTGCTTACATCAAGCTCCCCCACCCACAGCTGGTTGGGCGGCATGCAAGGAGCTTCCTTCTGTGTTCGGGAGAAGCTCCTTCAGGGTTCAGAGGAACTCAGGTTCAGACCAAACCCTACTAAAAACCTTGCACACAGGCCCACTGCTTTCAGGAAATACTCCTGCATGGAATTTTGCCCACAGCAAATATATTACAGTTGTACTATTCATTTCAGGCAAAAATTAGTGCAAGAATCTGATTGGCTGCTGTGTGACAACAAAACCACATTTCATTTCCTCCAGATTTATACAGTACCTGGAGCTGTGACACATTCAGTCTAGTTATCTTCAAAGCATAAAAGGTGGACACTTTGAAAATATCTCTGATATGTTTTTCTCAGTTATTTTCCAGTAGATAGGGGCATGTTTTTATGCACATAGCTAGCCTTTAAAATTAGAGAGAAAGGAAGCAGGTCACTTATCTCTTGCTTTTTTCTTGAAATGTAAATGCCTTTGACACCCTTTGTTTTGGTAATATTTATCTATCTTATTTAAAAAAAATCTCTTGTCTTGTTTTAAAGCCTTGTCACTATTGTCGTTTTCTGATGATGCTTTCTGCGGCTCAGCCTAATTATCTGGTCAAAGGGCTATACAACCAAGAGATAGAGAAAGTTAACGTTTAACCTGCGAGGATTGTAAACCAAACCTGGGGCCAATGAACCTTTGGAGTTTGATATGATTAAGGGATAACCAGAGGTACACGTCTCAAATTCACCATAATCAAGCAGAACCTGCTGGTGGTGATCTCTGAAATTGCTCAGGTAAGCTTCGAGCTTATTCTAAACCTGTAAAATAGATCTTTAAACAGTGAAGCTAGCATAAAAAGTCTGTAAAACAAAATGTGTACACAACTGTAATCTTGAACGCTGCATTTTCGGAATCATCAGAACTGTATGAATGGTTTCTCTTCGTGTAAACAATATGTTGTGTAAAAAAAACTGCATGTTTGCTATACATAATATATGTTATAGTATTTTACATTGTGAGAAAGGCAACAAGCATCTTTGAATGCTCAGATCTGAAATCAAATGGATAACAGATGCATAATTTTAAATTGTCATGTAATTAATTCAAATAAACATTTTCATACAGTCATTTTTTAAGTTGAACATAATGTCATAGACTTCTTGATAACTGCACCTAAAATAATAATAATCATAATAATCATAATAATAATATAACAAGACCATCCTGACATTTTCTCAGCTACAAATAAACATTTGTAAATGTGTAAACATATTCAGTTTTATTGTATGGGGTTACCAATGCTGTTTGTATATATATTTAGCCGTTTCGGTCTGTACCAGGTAAAAGAAAGAAAAAAGAGAGGTATAGTAATCAGAAATGCACCTTATTTTTCAGGCCGGCAATGTATCTTTGTAGTGAAATATAGATATATAAGCAGATATGAGGGTAAAGAATTAAAACAATAAAAAGGTTGTCTGATCTAATTTTAAATATGTAAGATATATATTTTTTTAATAATAAGATTTTTTTTTAATGTGGCGGTGCCATCCGCAGTCATTTCGAGCACCCATCTTCATCAAGTGGGAATCCCGGTAAGGAGTGCGGTATGGTTCCTGTTTCTGTCTTCTCAGCTATAACACACATTTATGTTTTGATTTTTAATGTCATGATTTTTTAAATCATATTTTATTTATTTTTATTTCATTTTGATCGAGAGTATGCATGGTTTAAAAGGAAATACTTAGCATATTTTGTATACATTAAATATGACATCCTTTTTCATATCCTTTTTAAATTTATAAATGTGCAAACACATTTAGTTTTATTGAATGGGGTTACTAATACAGGCCTAGGAAGGCAAATGCTGTTTGTTTATATATTTAACTTGCTGGTCTGTACTAAAGAAAAGTGTAAACAATCTGAATTGCAAATTTATGTTACAGTTATATTCACTCTACTACCTTATGCTTGAGGCCCGCAATGTATCTTTGCAGTGAAACAGAAATTTAAGCTGTAAAAAAAATAAACAAATAAAAAGCTTGTATGATCTAATTAGAAATATGTCGGATATAATTGTATTCCAATAATACATTTATGGGGCTAAAACCTGAATGAAACAACTTATTAAAATTGTTAACATAGATAAACTTTATATAGGGTGCAAAATCAGTGAGCTTAATTCATATATATATTTGTTTGCTCTGTTAATTATCAACTGAATTTATGGGGGTAAGAAAGCCACACATTAAAAATGATAATAGCTGTTCTGTAAAAAGGAATAAAGCTCTATGCATATGTTAATGCAAAATGCTACAGTCCACAAGGTTGGTGACCTCCTTTATCTATGTAATGATATGTAATACATATGAAGCAAGATTTTTTTTTATCCACTGTCAATAACAATAAAGTTACCAATAAATGGTGCAATTTTGCAAGTACACAGACAGGAATATATATAGTTTTAGTTATTAATTGTCTACAAATGCCAAGTATATACCCACAGTTTATGTATACATGCCACATGAGTCTAGCTATATACTGCTATACTATCTAAAGTGTCCATAACATGCAGTTGGCGATAAAAAAAAAACCCTCAATGTGGACTTAATGGTTAAAAAAATTAGTCACATTGTTATGTTATGCTAAATTGCACAGCAAATGCACATATAATAGTAAATATCTGTTTTGTGTTGATTTGTACAGTAATTACACATAGTGTAGTAAATATCTGGTATGCGTTAAACCACAACTAGCCGTGTGGTCAATCATATTTACATACTATAGTTTTCTCAGGGTGGATTGCAAGACTTGCTCTCTGATGATGTCACTAGTGTCATCCCTGAGCTCACTGGATATCAATCTGCACTGAATATTATTCAGCATTGGGAATCGGTTTTGTCATATATACAGGACAAAAGTCAATCTCTTAGGTGTAACATGGGATGATTGTCTGTCAAAGCCTTCTGTGCATGGTCATGATCATCCTAACACAGTAGGCCTGTGGAGTAACTCTTAACTTCAAATTGAAAATGTTTCTTTTTCTACTCATTGCTCCAATAGAAGCATCCTGATGTTATAGCTAAAAGTGTTGTACGTACTGACAAATGTATGTGATGCATTTGTGTATGTAGTGTTTATTTACACCACGGCTCAGAAGTATAAAGCCATTACCCTCCATTAGTGCTGGTTCACATCGGAGCCGTTGTGCTGTGTTGTGCAGCGGTGGCCAATGCAAACAGAAGGCAAGCATCCTTGGTTTCATTAGATGTAGTTCACACCTGTGCGCTGCGTTGTGTTGAGCTGCGTTAAAGTGTTGCAGGCATCATTATATCACAGCGCAATGCTGTCCAAGGCATTCACAATGCATCACAACGCAGGTAATGCTTAATATTTACTAAGTCGCTAACCAGAAATAGATATTCAGATCAGGAGTTGTGGCTTAACTTGCTGCATAGAAAAGTATCAAAGCCAGAGGATAAGCATGACAGGCAACCATTTTTGAAGATTAGCAATGGCATCCTACATTTTTCTCTTGGCACAGGCTTTTTTCAATGTGTCAGTACAGGTAGAGTTTGGTGCAGGTAGTTTTTCGCAGCCCTGACAGCAATGTCCTGCAATAGCCCCCCATCACTCTAAACCTCCATGCAACCCTAACACTAAATGTGCACAATTCCTCCCTGTAACCCTAACACTACATTTACACCAATCCTCCTTGTAACCTTGACAATAAATTCACACTAATCATCCCTGTTACCCTAACACTAAATTCACACTAATCCTCCCTGTAACCCTAACACTAAATGTACACAAATCCTCCCTGTAACCCTAACACTAAATGCACACAAATCCTCCCTATAACCCTAACACTAAATGTACACAAATCCTCCCTGTAACCCTAACACTAAATTTACATTAAGCCTCCCTGTAACCATAACACTACATTTACACCAATCCTCCTTGTAACCTTGACACTAAATTCACACTAATCCTCCCTGTTACCCTAACACTAAATTCACACTAATCCTCCCTGTAACCCTAACACTAAATTCACACTAATCCTCCCTGTAACCCTAACACTAAATGTACAGAAATCCTCCCTGTAACCCTAACACTAAATTTACATTAGGCCTCCCTGTAACCATAACACTACATTTACACCAATCTTACCTGTAACCCTGACACTAGATTTACACTAGATTTATACTAATCCTATTTGTAACCCTAACACAAAATTCAAACGAATCCTCCCTGTAACCCTAACACTAAATTTACATTAAGCCTCCCTGTAACCATAACACTACATTTACACCAATCTTTCCTGTAACCCTAACACTAAATTCACACTAATCCTCCCCCTAACCCTAACACTAAATTCACACTAATCCTCCCTTTAACCCTAACACTAAATTCACACTAATCCTCCCTGTAACCCTAACACTAAATTCACACTAATCCTCACTGCAACCCTAACACTAAATTCACACTAATCCTCCCCGTAACACTAAATTCACACTTATCCTCCCTGCAACCCTAACATTAACCATCAAACTAATATTCTCTGTGACTCTAACAATAACCAACACACTAAGCCTCCCTATAACACTAAGTCTCACATGAATCCTCCCTGTAACTCTTACACTAACCACCGTACTAACATTTCCTGAAACCCTAACACTAACTCTCACAATAAACTTCTCAGTGACCCTAATGCAAACTCTTCTTTAATCCTAACCATTACAACCCTGTCTTGAACCTTAGCAGTATCACCCTAACCTCAGGTACCACTGGTAGAATAAATTGCTTACAGTGTGTGTGTACATGTGTGTGTATATGTGTAGACCACAATGTTGAATTTAGTGAATTACAGAACTGACAAAGACATACAAAGATCTTGGGCACTCTGAAGGTTGTCTTATCACATGGTGCGAGATATCTAGATATAAGCACTGTTGACAATATCCAGCAGGACATGGTGAGGTAATCATATAGCACAGCTTGGAGACAGCACCACATGGGATGAACAGCATTATAACAACATATCTTACTGATTGAAGATAAGATACATCTGGATTATGAAGTAGGTGGTAGATGTAGACCAGTAAATAGAACAACGATAAGGATTACTAAATGATCTGCTTAAACCAGCGGTCACCAACCTTTCAGACCTCATGGACCACTAAATTCATCATTTTAAATCCCGCGGACCACTAATAAAAAATTTTCTAAAAATATATATATTCTCATATGTTTGGTTTCCTCATATATAAATATATTCTCATATGTGTGTGTGTATATATGTATACAATATATATACAAACATGCACATATGAGAATATATTTATATATAAGGAAACAATGCTTGAGTCAGTGAGAGGCAGCCCCCGGAGCCTCCGTGCCACTTCAATGACGGCCCAGCCTGCACGGCATCAGAAGGGCCGGGGGACTAGCAAAATTTTCTTGTGGACCACCGGTTGGCAACGGCTGGCTTAAACTATTTTGTCCGTGTTCAGTAAAATGGAAGGAAAAATCGTATTTATAACAGTAGCTAAGAAATCTACTTCTTCTGATCTTGATCACTGACCGATCCCAACTTACTGCGACTTTTGTCCTATTCGCTAAACAAGAAACCATAGAGCACCTAAGCAGAGAAAATTGACTTTTTGCTGATTAATTACAGAAATGTAAGAACATATTGGAACATTTCCATAAGTGATAATGAGCATATGCAACTCTTTTGCATTCCAGTTTTTACAAGGGTATACTGACATTTAATATTGAAGAAAATGAGGACAGG